TTCTTTTTCTTCTTTCACCCTACAACGTTAAGGATGAAGGAAAAGAAGAATTCATGTTTACATAGAGACTAGCACATGTGGAATACGATTCTGTAGTGTGTCTTCCACATGAATATCTGTTTTTGCAGATATGCACCTGTGTATATGAGCAGCCGTTATGAGGATACCGTCGCCATAGTACACAAAGAGGGCTCCCCTTTTGTGCATGACCCCGCAAAATGTGAACATCTTTTTTCTTTGTAGTCCCGGAGCCGGCGAAAGCGCCCTGGAGCCAATCTATATAAAGGACGACGATGGATATGACATTGACACATTTTTAATCCCCGATCACTACAAGGTAATGGAACAATTATGATGGAGTAGGGCAATCATTTTGGTGGAGACTCGCAATCGGTGTGACCCCAACGCACGTCGCAGGAAATTGCCATTTTCGCCCCAGTGTGATGCGTATGTGTAGAGTGCAACACATATCTGACGTTCCCCATTCTCGCAGAGCTACATCACGAAGGTGCTAATCCCCAATGGAGTTTTAAAAAATCGAATAGAGAAGCTCGCATTTGACATCAAAAGAGTTTACAGAAATGAAGAGTTTCACGTTATCTGTTTACTAAAAGGATCAAGGGGGTTCTTCAGTGCGCTGCTGAAATATCTGAACAGGATTCATAACTACAGCTCCACTGAGTCACCAAAGCATTTATATGTAGAGCATTATGTACGTATTAAGTCGTACTGTAATGATCAGTCCTTAGACCGTATCGAAATTGTTAGCGAAGATTTATCCTGCCTAAAGGATAAACACGTTTTAATTGTTGAAGATATTATCGACACAGGAAAAACGTTGTCCAAGTTTTGTGAATATTTAAAAAAGTTTGAGGTGAAAACAATTGCCATTACATGTTTGTTCATTAAGAGAACTCCTCTTTGGAACGGCTTTAAGGCTGACTTTGTTGGTTTTTCAATTCCAGATTCCTTCGTCGTTGGCTACAGCTTAGATTACAATGAAAAATTTCGAGACCTAGACCATTTGTGTTTGGTGAATGACGAAGGCATAAAGAAATTCCGCACTACCCCTCCCACTTCTTGAGCGAGGTTTGTAGGAACAAATAATGCGTGGTGCGGAGGAGATCATAGGAGCATTTTTGCCCAGCCCTTCGTGGAAATGGGCCACTCCGACACGCGGTTCTTCGTCACGGTTGATACGCGGCTGCTATATGCTGCTGTCACGTGCGCACCTCGAACTTTATGGCGAAACATATGTCAACGAAGATGTCTAATGGGGAAATAATTTGTGCTCCTTTTTCTTTACACCCCATCCCCCCTTTTCAACCATTTTTAACGAGTCATATATGACACGAATGGAAGAAGTGCAGCATCGTTTATAAATTTAAACCCCTCCAAAAAAAAAAAAAGAAAAATTGACAAAAAAGTGGTACCACGAAAGTGGTACTTTATTCCACGTAAAATGAAAATTGGCTCTCCAGACTGAGGCGAAAGTTTCATTTGTAAAGCTGTTCGCATAGCAAATGTATCCTCTGCCTTTTAACTAAAAAACGTGGAACGCATATTTTTATTCCTATCTTTATTTTCCTCTGACTTCATGAGCTCCATGCGAGCTGCGTGTGTGTGCCTCTTCATTTCATATATGCCCCCCGCGCAAAAAAAAAAAAAAGAAAACTGCACAAGTATGGAAGTGCACATATATATGTCATATGTATATGTTTGGATAGCTATATATCCACTCAAGTGCATCCTTCCACATAAACGTGGCAAAGGTGAACCGCGTTGACATCTCTGTGCAGCGTATGTGCCTCTATACTTATGTGAACCTTGAACTGTCAAGCGTGAACCTGCTCACTTGTGGAAGGAGAAGAAATGAAAAAAAAGCTTTTAATTTATACCGTCCCCGTTTTTCATTCCATGACGTATGCTCTATTTATTTTACCCCTTTCCACCTGGATGCCTCTTTTCCCCCCTTTTCTGCGCCCATCTTATAAAAGACACGTGAGTTAGACCGTCACAAATTTAAGCTTCATGTGCAGCAAAGAGCAACATTTAAGTAGCGTATGGCAGGGTTGTAAAAGCGCCCATTAAAGGAAGTTTTCCACTTTGCCACTTTTATTCCTATCCTATGCTGTTCTTTTTTTTTTTTTTCCCATTGGAAAATCACGACATGGAAAAGAGGTATAAAAAAAGGAGGCGTTGCATCAATGTATAAGCCACTCCCTCTTGAATGAGTCCTTGTCCGAAATGTTGTGTCAACCTTTGCAAGAGACGCAAGTGTCAGGAAAAAAGTCCAGGTGTGAATGTTTTCCCCTGCTTATCTGTGTGGTTAAAAATTGGTAATGTTCGTCCGACCGGCCTCTTCAGGGAAGTTCTCCTCCACTTTCCATTTTATGTACATGTTGAAGAAGGGGATATAATGGAGGAGGGTCGAGGAAAAAAACGAAAGAGGCCAATAAATTCTTACAAAATAAGGTTTTATATTTTAAAACAATCTTCGTTTAAATTCACGTTGGGGCCTACTTTTACAAACATATGTAGTTTCACTAAGTTGCGTGAGGATGTACACTGAAGAGGAACGTCGACAATGGGAACACCCGTCTCGCAAGTCTTTGCAAAAATGTGCGCCCTGTTAAATTTGTCCCGACGCTGTTCCAGGTTTGTTCCGACGTTGTATTAAATTTGTTCCAACTCAGCGCCAGGTTTGTTCCTCCCTGCGATGAACCAAAGAATCGTGGTTGCCAATAATCAAAATATTACCGCGAGTAAAAATATCCTGCGTTCCAGAAAGCGGTGTACAAATGAGAACTGAAGTTCACTTGAAAGGTCTACAGAATAGTCAGAAGGAACTTCCCAAAATTGCATTTATGGTTTGAAGCGACAAAAGGGGGATATATACACCACTGGCAAAATTTTGTTGCAACTCGTGAAAGGGTGTAAAACAGCAGTCGTCTCGTACGCAGGTGTTCCATCGGCGCAAAGCACAGATAGGTGTAGCTACATAGATAGCTAGTGCGTATATTTTTGTATATACTTATATATGCACGGCGCGGATCGTTTTCCTCCTCCTAATTTGAAAATAAAAGGGAAGAAACAATCGCTACGCGTAAACGAAGGGAACGCCGCGTTACATCGGCCGTCAACGTTCAGCACGCCATACAAGGGGCACTCAAAAAAGAAACTGACGCTCCAAAGAATTAAATATAGCAGATTCGTATATGATAATATTGTTAATGTAGCTGTTTAGAAAAAGGTACTTACGACGTGTATGTATTTCGTGTTGAAGTTTTCTTTGAACAGATTTTTTTTTTTTTTTTTTACTTGATTAACGAAGCCAAATTGGAAAACATAGGGAGTTGCGTTTTGTGAAATATAAGAAATGTACAAGCGGCGCGAATAAACAATTTTACAGAATAAAAAAAAAATAAATAAATAAATCAGGATGTTTTAAGGGGTTAATATTTCCTTTCTTTTTTTTTTGAAAATTCGACACATTTTAATGTATGGAGAATATGCGCTTCTTTAAGTTGGCCGGACGTTTCCCCATTTAACGAGGTACAGCGAGCGACTGGAGCATTGCTCGTGGGTCATCATAATCTAAACAACCGCTTAAGGGTGTACGTCTGCACATACATACAAGCGTTAGCCGCTGTCACAGGCCAAGGACAAAACGGGAAATTCGGAAAGCGTAGGTAGTCACTGTACAAAAGGCACCTTGCACACAGGTACAGTCTCGGACGTACGTATATCCATACAGACGTGCAACTGTCTTCTTGCGGAGGGCAGTTCCATATAATGAATTGAGAAGAACCATTCACAAATATGAACACGGAGAAAAATGTCGCTGCACAAGGAAATCTGTAAATACCTGGCACGGTCAAGCTCGAAACCGCTGAACAAATTGGAGTTCGAACCAACCAAGCGGAAAACGGGGGCCTTGTCCCAGATCTTTAAGAAAGTCTTTTTTCCGTACTACTTTAAATTTATCCGGGCGCCCTATGAAAGGTGGCAATTCTGTGCCATGACAAAATTCTTGAGGGAACACGGTAAGGCCCCATGGCGCTAAGTTTCTCGATGTCGTCGTGAAATGACGCGTTACGGTTCACACGACGATACGCAGCTAGAATGACCGCAGGGACATGACGAATGGGAGAACGGCCCTCCAGCTGTGCGGCACACTGGATATACTTTGCACACGCGGTAGCTGCGAATAACGTAATCTGTCCTGACCGTAATGGTAACGTCTATTTATTAATTATCATTTGATATTTTATTTTTATTTTTTATTTATTTTCTCTTTTTTACGTGGACCCCGCGCAGGACTCATGTACAGCGACAAAGACCCCGTCATTGAGAGAGCCATCTCGCTTCTCCCGAAGGATATTCAAATAAAACGTTACAGGAGAATGTTAAGAGGAACGCACATCAATTTTTTAAGACTTTATCTGCACCCCTCAGAGCAGAACTATGACCCTTATATTCCCTACCTTGCTCCATATATCGAAGAGGCAAAATTCCAGCTGCAAGAAGAGGAAGAATTACTGGGTTATCATCCCTACGACAGGAGACTATATACTGGTGGAACAACTGGTTTTGGTGACTTAGAGCCAGGAATGCATTTCCTCGTTTCGATTCCGAACCTTTACGGAGCGGCCATACCGCACAGCCTTAAGAAGAAGTAGACCAAGGGGAGTCACACCACTTCTCCCCATATGTTACCTGTTAATGCTTACGTGGTGATTTGTTAAGCGGTCCATACAGAGTAATAACTCAGTGGGCACTTCCTCCACGGATGCGTAGTGGGTATCATTCCGCCAAAAGATGGAAACATGGGAGACGTTATTTCCTTGAGGGGCTCATGCACATATTACCCATCATCCACAAAGACATCACCACGTGGAGACGCAACAAACGGACAACAAAAAAAGTGTTTGCCTTAATTTGAAAATATCCGCAGCGCCTTCATATATGTCATCATAAGGGACTGTTAAAAATGTTACTTTTTTTTTTTTTTAACAAATAAAAAATTTAAGCAAACTGTGTGGGGCGATATTTCTATACATAGCTGCACAGAAACATGTACCGTTAACATGTTACCGTGTAACAACGGTGGTATGCACCAACGTTACACTTGGCGGAATTTTTTTTTTTTCAAAAAAAAGGAAACTAATGGTTAACGTTTATTCAAATTTGGAACTCACCATCTGCTGTTCTTCCCAAACTGACAAAAAAATAAAAAAAAAAATAAAAACATTCTCGAGTGATAAAAATATATGTGCAATTTACAGCAACGCGGCCAGAAGGTGAGTTTTTTTTTAAAGCTGCGTAAACCGCTGTTATGTGAGGTTGGCAAATGGTTAAACGGGAAAAGAGGCAATGAAGTAACAAACGGGTGCGACAAGAAGGAAGCGGAAAAAAGAAAGCGGAAAAAAGGAAGCGGAAAAAACCTATCGATGAATGCCTAAATGAAGGGAACTTGCCCTACTTCGTCGCCGATAACGGACGATGCAAACTATTTATCCCTGGGTGTAGACCAATTTGCTCATCTTTGAATTTAAGACAATCATTGTCATGGTTAATTTTTCGAGCGAAAAAAATATATTTTGGCATTCGGAAGCGATGTCCTTTATGTACACGTTTTTCGATTCCACCTTTATGTACTGAGACGACAATTTACTGTCCGGGATGAATTCCAGAATTTTCATGATATGTGAGCAGGCGATTTTGAGGAAGCTCGACGCTTTTTCCTGCGAAGTGGGAAGATAAGTGGGAATATAAGTAGAAACATAGGTGGGAACATAAGTGGGTCGATTCGGGGGGTACACATGGCAAAAAAGTATGCCATTGTCAGATTAAGCGATCAACGGATGTCTATTTGTTCGTCACTTCTGTTTTTTTTTTTTTTTTTTTTTTTTTCTGCTCTCGCATAGCGTCTATGTACACACATGTGCATGTACATTTGGTCGCCTTCTTCCATGGCGTCCCCACGCTGTCTCTTAGTGCGCATATAACACCTCCTATAGGGAGCCCATTCTGTGCGTAGTAAAAAGCGCTCCTTTGGGGGAGGGCACTTTTACCACCGCTTGGCTGTCAAAAGTGGAGAACTTACCAGAGAATTATTTGTTGACAGAATTTCATTTGTCAGTGTTTTATAGGAAGGAATAAAATGGCCATCTTTGCCATGGGTCCCATACTCTAACAAGTTTTCTTTATTAATTTTTTTTTCTGGTGGTACTGTTTCATTTTTATTTGGGATATTACTTTGGCTACTAGCTTCGCTATTAACTTGGCCATTAGCTTTGTCATTAGGTTGGTCATTAGTTTGGTCATTTTTTTTCTCATTTGCGTTGTTTTCTTCGTTCTTTTTTTCCTTTCCATTGGTATTCTCTTGGTTTTTTTTTTCGTTGCCATTGCTATTATCTTCATTCTTCTTTTCATTACCGTTGCTGTTTTCGGCGCCTTCTTTTTCCTTGTTCGCCTTGTTGGTGTCGTTTTCGTTGGCAGCCTTCTCGTCGTTGGCCGTCCGCAAGGAGAGGAAGCTGTACTGGTCCACGTCGTCATTGGTCAATTTATTTTCTCGCATTCTGTTGCCATTTTTCTTTCGCTTAGAGTTGGCGAATTTTGATGCCCTCGTATTTTCGGCCCATATTTTGAAGGAGCAGATAAGGAAAAGTAAAAGTAGTTTTTTCATCGTCTTGGGGGGGATCTCTGCGTTTAGGGGGTGGTGGCATATCTGTGCGATGGTGAGGTAGCAAGCGCGCACGTAAGGCGAACATATAATATGCCTACGCGTGCAATCGTGCAAGCGTTCGTCCACTTGTGTCCAATGCTTTCCATTCCTTTCTCAGTCGTCCTCACCGCTTAACCCGCGCGACCGAGTGTCAGTCCCGTTGTGCAATTTCAAGGGGGTACGCTTCGCGTTCGCGTTACACGTCTATTTTCCTCTTTTGGCTAGGCGTGTGCGCTGCATCAATTTGTTGTGCAAATATTTTTTGTTATGTAGAACTTTTTGCTATTCACTCTCGCTTTGTTTTTTTTTCGAGAAATTTACATCTTAACGAATAATTCTGTTTTATTTTATTTTTTTACTTTTTACTTTACTCATTTTGCACACAATTTTCTGTCTTCACTTTTTTGTAATTGTAACACGCGGCAGAGGGGAAAGGCAACCGAGTTACACAACTTTTTTTTTTCTTTTTCTGTCAGCCTTTCCGTTTGTTCGCTTTGTTGCGTTTTTTTTTTTTTTTTCTTTCATTTATTTAAAAGTGTTCCAACTAGACAATCTGTATACTCGACCGCATGTGAGGAAGAAATTTAAACATTCATGCTGTAGTATGCGTTTTAAGAAATTAACAAAAAAAAAAAAAAAAAAAAAAAAATGTGAATCTTTTAAAGTGTAACTGTTCCGTTGTGTTTTTTTTTTTTTTTTTTTTTTTTTTTTTTTTTATTTTATTTTATTCTTTTTTTAATTTTCCTTTTTATGAGTTTTTTCTTTTTTTCTGGTGTGTATAGTGGCCATTTTCCCATTCTATTCGTTCGTTCGACCAATGCTGTAAGTCGGTGCATTTTTTTTTTTTCTTTTTTTGACGTATGCGAGTCTGTTATGGTGGTTTTCACCCTCCAGGGGGTGTATCCTCCTGCAGGTGGAATGATGAAAGCGCGAACTGGTTCTGAAACGCAACAATGAAATGAGGCAATGGAGCAGTGAGGGGCAAGTAAGGGCGAGAGAAAAGCAGGAGAAGAACACTCCGCGAATGACCTATCCAACAGGGTGAGTGCCAAATGTGGCTCTCATTTCTTCTACAGCGCTGAAAAAAAAAAAAAAAAAAGAAAAACACTCCTTTGTTCACCTGCAGTTGACGATACATTTGATTCGAATTATATTCTGGCGAAAGAGAGGGAGTTCATTCCATCTCTACGTTTTCTACACATGCATCAGTACGCGCCGCGAGGGGGGAAGCAGTGAACAAATGCATACCACTTACTAGCCGTTTCGACTCAGAAAGGTCAGAAGCTGACATTGACATTGCCCTAGTTTTGCTTCCCCTTCGTTCGCATAGAGGCAAAATACAACAGAGGTAGGGCAAGTTAAGCATAGGACCATTCGACATGGGAAGTGAGCCGGTGCCTATTGCACACTGATTTGAGCGTCCCCAGATCGCGGGCGAGAGAGTTGAAGCTGAAATTTTTGACCTCCCACGGAGGGGAAAGGGGGTCAGTAGGGGGGTACACACTGCTCCACGCTGCGATCCGTTAATTGTAACCCACCAAGTGTACCCATCTACCTGTAACTCGTTAAGTGTAAGCCGCTGCGAACCGCCATATGCTAACCGCCTACCCTGATGAGCTGCATGAACAACTTCCAGAGGGTCCTGTACGCCTCGCGCTTCATGCGGGTGTTCGGGAAATTCAAGCGGGCGCAGCTGAGAGAGAAGCCGCATAGGAAAATAGGCCCCTTCAGTAACCCAGTGAAAAGATTAGCCAGGCTAAAGGAGAAGGAGAGGCTGTTCTGCGACTTGGGTACGCCCCGCATGATTCCAAGAGTCAAAGGAGGCGGAAGGGAAAAAATCCTGGAAGTAATCAAAGCACCCAAAGTGAGTAAAGAAGTCTTGGACAGACGACTAGAATTTTTACTCTCCAATGAAAGTGTATATCAGCAAATGTACAATAAAATGTATAATGGGATTACTCCTTACCAGTGTGAGCTGTTCATGTGGGAAAGGCAAATGAGAGATCTGAGGAAGATTTATAGGGCACAGTATCTGCACAAATTAAGTGAGGTGACAAGTGAAGAACAAGAGAAACAATTAAAGCTAATTTTGCAGACGAAGGAAGATAAAAGAAGACGTAGAGAATTAATAAGGGAACGAGTACTGGAAGATAAAAAAAGAAAAGCCATCTTGAAAGACCGTTTATCTTTGGAAAAAAAAGTCACACAATCTATTCTATTTAAAAGGCAGTCAAATAGAAAAATGAATAATATTTATTGGCTATCGAAACTGCAAAGGAAGAGTGAGTACGCAGATGCCGACGACTTTAAGGACAAAATAGAGAGAAGCGGTGCAGGTGACGCAAGGGGGGGAAGTACTGGACGGGGAGAATACAATGCAGATGGAAAACTCACTGGAAGTACCATTCGAATGAGCAGCGGAGATGAAGACACCCTGTTCAATCGTAACATCTCCACGAGTGCCTTGTACAAAGATCTAGGATACGAAACAAGAGACGAAAAAAGTGAAAATACAAAAATTTTTCAAGTGGACAAGGTATACAGGAAATTACTTGAAGAATCATTCGAGTTTTTGGATGAAGATGAAGAGAAATATGGCCAAATGAACCATCTACAAAATGAGGAAAATGTAACTCATAAGGAAAGAGCGCATATTTTATACTCCTCCTTTACCGACGAGGAAAAGATCAAACTGTTGGACGATAAAATAGCAATACTTTCGAAAAAAATTGAAGAACAATCGTATGCCAAAGGTCTGGACAACAACAACATTATGTTTTACATTCAGCTGCGAGATAAGTTGGAGGCTTCGAAACAGGCCTTCTTAGAAACGAGCTACTTGAAAAAGGTGAAAAAAGAAGATTAGCCACGTGGGTGGAGGCCCTACTCTCTGGCTCACAGTTGTCTGTAGAGAGTTTTCTCACGCCGAGCCATGCTACAAGCAATATTTCACCAAGTGTATGCCACGCAAATCCGACACGACAAACATGCACATCTGTTTACGCGCATAAGTTGTTGCCTATAGCCGTTTTGGTAATACCGTTCACCATTTTGCGGGTTAAGACACTTCAGGCGACAACTTTTTTACGAAGCCACGCCATTTTATCCCTTTTTTTAAGTAAAAGTGTCTACATATATCCTGCTTTTTCTTATTTAATCGTATGATATTTTATGTAGCGTATTGCCATCCTTAACAGTAATTTTCTCTTTTTTTTCTTAAATACGAACTGTGCATCCTGCACGTAGTGGTGACAACAAGGTTTAATTTTTTTTGCCCATTGGTAGAAGTGCGCATTTGTAAGAAATGTACTGCATTCTGCCCGAAAAAGGCTGTGCTGCTTCCACCCTTTAGAAGGGAATTCCATTGTGGGGTGGGTTGGAGAAAGTAAATAAACACTAGACCGTCATCATTTTGGCGTTTTGATGAAGTGTTATTCCTTACGCCTTAGATATATGTCCTTTTGTGAGGTGACATTTTTAGCAGCTTCGGATCCGAATTGGGGGAAATCCATTCTGTCGCTATGTCTATTTGTTATTTTTTACTTGGGGGGGGTTACCCCAGTTCGGGTGAAAATGTCTTCTCAATTGTACCGATTGCGTGAGGATCGGTTGTCCCCCCTGTGTCTATGCTACTTATCAGGGTGTTTACCCCTTTTCCCTATGTAACACTTCAAACTGAATGACGCATCATCAAAAAGGCATTATTGGACAGGGTGGCAAAAATTTGGAGCGTCGACCCTCCCCTTATCCAATCATTAAGAAGTGTTAATAGTTATCCCATTATGCACCAAAAAAAAAGGAAAAAAAAAAAATGATCTCTTTAAAATGATTTCCCTGCGTATTTAAAAATTAAAGAAAAAGCAAATCTTGTGAGCTACGGTTTGGGTTCACGTGATGCTTCCCACCAAAAAGAAAAAAAAAACAAAGAGCAATTAATAAAACGGAAATGTCCTCTAGACGGAGAAAAACTTATAAAACGAACAAACTTATCGGGAAAAAAAAAAAAAAAACAGAAAAAAAAAATCATCAAACTGTTGGGTGTTACTTTTTTATAAGAAATTAAAAATAGTAAAAAAAAATGACACTGATATACTTGTCAAAAGAGCAAATCAGACACACAAACGGAAAAGACAAACACCCACGGATGCGACGTGAACTTGAATGCTTAAAAGATGGAACGATGGAAACAGGGTGACATATGCCCCTGTGTAGAGGTCCAAACTAAAGACGAATCTGCACATGTGTCTGAGGTCATGTAAATATTTCTATGCCCACTGACACGAATCGATCGGCCATTTACAAAAATAAAGGATTGACACGAATGAACAGTTATGTGAGCATCTGTGTGCTTCGTGATTTTAACAGACGGGTTGAACGTTGTACGTTAAAAAAAAAAAGGCCCTATTTTCTCTTCTTCTTTTTAGCTGTTTTGGTGTTTATTAAATCAATCAAATTGACGTGAACCGAGCCAGAACCAATGGACAACTTCTCCTCCTTCTTTTTCCCCATTTCTGATTTAATATCACCCGCATCGCTTTTCTGTTTCGCTATTTCAAGAAAACTTCTCTTCGGAATGTGACAGACGTTTGGATCGGCTGCGTTGACCAATTCGGCGTTGTCCCAGTTTACGGGGGGGTAATTTTTTGACCCATATTTTGATTCCCCTCTTGGACCATTTGGTTCCCTTTTTCGACCATTTGGTCCACTTTTTAGCCTATCTTTTGTCCCGCCTCCTGTCCTATTTTCCCCCGTTTGGTCATCCCAATTTACATTCGGGAAAAGCTCCTCTACAAACGCATGTTCGTTTTGTTTTACTACGGAGTCGTCCTGCAGTGCCCCGTGAAGATATTTCTCTTCGTCCAACAGGTTTGGA